GGAGTGCACTGGGATGGGGGTATGCTGGGGGGGCCTATCTCAGGGAGTGGGGGACACTGGGGGGCCTGGCTCAGGGGGAGGGGTGGGTGCAGTCCCAAACTGGACAAAGTGGTGCAACTTTTGCTTTGCAACTCTGGATCCCCTCCATCTACCCCCCTTTTTTTTTTTGCTTAACAACTTTGGTGAGGGTGGGAGGGGGTCACACAAATTCATTTAGCATTGTAGGGGGTCGCAGTATCAGAAAGTTTGAGAACACCTGCTATACTATACAATTAATATACTCTTGACCACTCGCACAAATATCCCTTTGAAGAATAGAGAACTCTAATTTGGTGCTAGAATGGTTTAATGCACAAGCCTTTCATCTTTGAAAAGCTAGTTTAAATCTCAGCTTGTCACAAAACAGATTCACCTCAGACCCTCTCTGTCTCCATTTGTCTGCATCTCAGTTGTAGAATATGACTTTGCTCAGAAGAGTCAAAGGACTGCAATATCAGAAGTTTAGTATGCAAGGAAGACTGCTCTGTCAGAACAATGCTAGGAACTTTGCATTGGTTTGAGTCCAGGCATAGTGCAGCTATATGGCAGTCTACTAGCTTCCCTTTTACATAAATGCATTCATTCACCAATTTAGAAGAAAAATGGTTTTTACCTGTTGCTTTTCTTGTGTGAGTTCATCAAAAAGTCTTTCAGTTTCAGCTAATGTCTTAGTTCTTGATGTATACTTGAAATCAGCATCATATACTGATGGAGAAACACTTTTTTCATTTTTGTGTGGTATATTCCTCTCTTCCCAACCAGATCTCTCAGTTTCTTTCTTCATTCCAGTGTGCAAAGATTCAGTGCAAGAACTGTGTTTAACATAGCTGTCAATACCTTTACCTGAAAGCTGTCTTCCTATGAAAAGATGAAAGTAGGAAAAATAAAAAAAATATTGTTTATTTTTTAAAATTTTCCATAATATATAACAGTAGATGCAGGACACAAACTGACAAAGACATGAACATTCACACTTGAGGCTTTTATTACAAACTTACTAATGTGTTTATTTATGCCTCGTGATATTAACAGAATTCTCTCAAAATTAAGGGATTAGTTTCTGTTGATGACTGGAGACATTGCTAATCTCAATACTACAATATTAATTTGGTGGTATTTATTTAAATATTTAATGTAAATAATGACAAACATTTCACTGTAGCCTCTAAGTATTCTATATTATTGTTAAAGTATTAAAACACAATTGACTATAAAATATTACATTTAAAATTAATATAAATGATATACAGTAAAACTCCAATTGTCCGGCATCCAGTGGTCCGGCACTCCCGATAGTTCAGCACCAACTGGAACCTGGAACTGCTCTGGCCAGCCGGACAATTGGAACTGCTGTGAGCCCTATGGGCGTTCGTGGATGGTAAAGGGAAGGGGAGTAGCGGGGAAGTGACTATAAAATATTACATTTAAAATTAATATAAATGATATACAGTAAAACTCCAATTGTCCGGCATCCAGTGGTCCGGCACTCCCGATAGTTCAGCACCAACTGGAACCTGGAACTGCTCTGGCCAGCCGGACAATTGGAACTGCTGTGAGCCCTATGGGCGTTCGTGGATGGTAAAGGGAAGGGGAGTAGCGGGGAAGGGGATTATACCCCTGTGACAGGTCTGCTGGGACCCGCAGTGTGTCCGGCTGGGGGGTGGGCGGGGAACAGCGCAGCGAGGGGCGAACCCTCTACCATTTTGCAGGAAGGTGGGGGAAGCCCTGCGCCGCCTCCAAGAGTTTCCAGGTAGGAAGCCCGCTCTCAGTAGCGGCCAGCGGCC